TGACTTGACTAATCGATTTTTTTTAAATTCAGTAATCAATATGTGATATGTACAATGAACCATGATCTATGGACACAAATTTATAAGCATCTTTTAATCAGAGCTGCTCGTCCTTGATCTCTCTGAACAACAGATAAACAGATACAATAGTTGTCCACAAAGCTTCCATCCTTGGGCAGTTGGCAGAATGGAATAATCTGGATTTCTTTTCCCACAGCTTCCTGATATCAACTCTGTCCTGAGTGGAAGGATATAGTTGGACACATCTTAAACATGCCAAATAGTCATGTCAGTTTCAATTTTAAATTCAGAAAAAAAGAAAAGTTTAAGCATCAAAAAAGTTGGATTAAAACTTTGGATTAAATCAAAAAACTATGGATTAAAAAAAGTTTTGAAGGTCACATGATTCTATATTTTTAAGATTTAATTTATATGTTATTTTATATAGTAACTAAATATATGATGTAACCAATAACTACACAAAGATAAAAGAAGGTGTGCAAAATATCACGATGTGGTGTGACTCTATCACCAAGTTAAGAACTTGTTACTCTTATTTACTAGTCATGAGTAGTGGTTTTAATATAGGGAAAGAGGAAGTTAAGTTTCCATGAAATCTCTGGGAAGGCATTTTTGAGAGGTAAAAAGCAGAAAAGTCTACCTAAAATTCATGAAAGGATGGTTCCCAACCTTCCCCAAAAGTCACAGAGGACACTCATTCTGACCTTCCTAAAAGCTGAAGAATGGCCCTTGCAGCAAATTTGACAGGCACACCAATCAGTTCTACTTCTCAGGGAGGGTAACCTAGGAAATTGTCTAACTCATGTTAAAAGACAGAATTAAAACTAGGCTTGTGAATTTACAAAAAAAAACCTCAATGAAATTTGTAAAACCAGCATCAAGAAGTAAATCTAAGTTCTTGCTTTTGCATTTCCTCCTCAGTTACAACAAACTCAGGCTTGAAAAATACTTGAGAATTAGCATTCTGCTTTGAACATCAGAAAATGAGCTGTCAGATTAAAGCAGTATCTAGTCCTTTGGATAAAACAACTGATTTATATCCTTTTACCCTCTTTCAAACTCTCTGTCTCTCCCTTCCTCCCTGTCATAATTTTTTTAGTACTAAAGCTTATTGAAAATGAGAGATCAGCAGATTCCTCTAAGATTAAGTTACTTAGAGATCAAGTGTTTGGGTGTGCAAATACATATACACAATCAATATATTAGTTTCAAGTGGAAATCTATTTTGCATATGTCTGCAAAGATATAAAGATAAATGATAGTTGATATTATTTATAAAGATATAAACATAAAGCATAGGGACTAAAAAAGATTTTAAAATAAAAAACATACAAAAATACTATGCAAAAACCAACCAAAAAAAAATTGGCTGGGTGTGGCAGCACATGCCTATAATTACAGCCCTTGGGAAGCTGAAGCAATAAGACTGGTTATGAGTTCAAGGCCAGTCTGAGCTACAGAGTGAGTTCAAGTCCAGCTTGAACTATACAATGAGAACTTGTCTCAAAAATCTCATTCCCAAAAAAAATGACTTAAATGAAAGAATTACTAAAGATAATGAGCATTATAGAAATAATTCTCAAGAAATATAACAGTTTATAATTTTATGCACCTAATGACAAGCCTCAGAAGGGCCAAAAATAAAAGAGTTAATATAATTCAAAGAAGGCATACATAGTTTAATGACATGTGGTGGGGGGGCTCATTGATAGATCACTTGCCTAGCATGCACAGACTTTGGGTTAAAAAAAATCACCATGGTAGATTCTGATGTCTCAATGTTTCATTTATCCACTAAAAACCTACCAAAGACTTTACATAAAGTTGCAAAACTTTAAAAGCATTTCCCTGGAATTTAGGAATAAGATAAAGATGTCTATTTTCTACCTCTATTCAATATCACTCTGCCCAGTGCTACTGGCAAAGCAAAGACAATTGGAACGGGCAAGTCAAAGCTATGGTCATTTGCATATCTTGTAATTATTTTACACAGAAAACCTAAATATTTTACAAGAAACTGAAAAAGAGAGTTAAGCAAAGTTTCAGGATACAAGACTAACATGCCAAGAAAACCAATTTTCTATCTATATGCCCTCAGTAATTAGAAAATGTAGTTAAGAACTGAGAAAAAATTAGTAATTATGCAGAAAATTACACCATGCTATTAAAAGACATAAAATATCTAAGTAAATGATTGATATACCATATTTATGGACAGAATCAATGTTAAAGTAGTTTCAATTCTCACAAAATTAAGTAATAAATATAAATCAAAAATCAAGTTTTTCACATGCAAGAAAAAGGGGGCAAGGTTACCCCAAGATATTCCTGAAGAGGACTAAACAGGTCAGAAGAAAGCCTTCCATACTAGCTGCTAACAGTTTATTGTAACTTAAATTATTTAAGACACTGTGGCTTAAGCATAGACAAGCTAGACAAAATGACCAGTGGAACAGATCAGCGAGCCCAGAAAGTGAACCATATGGAAACAGAAACTTGACATATAACAGAGGCAGCATTACAATTAGAGGGGAAAGGGTGGAATTTGCCATTAATAAGGTAATTTGTTACCCATAGGGATATCCCCCCACCCCCGGCAGGGAAAGTTTTTAAAAATTAGATCTTATTCCATTCCATATACATACCACTACATAAAAAAGTAAATGTAACAACCAAAATTTTAAATAATTTTAGAAGAAAATACAGGGGATAATCTTATAACTACCAAGTAGGGCGAAGGTCCTTAATTAAGATATAAAAAGCAAAACAAAACAAAAACCCACAGAGGAAACGATCACTTCATTTAACTACACTAACATGTAAACAAAAACAATCCTCCTTTCAAAGTGAAAAATCAAGCTGCAAGCTAGGATACATACAAAATGCACAAATAGGTATAGTCTAACATGAGTGTTTAGAATATATTTAAAGAACAAATTGATACAAACCAAGAAGCCTAATGGAAAAAATGGATGAAGCATAAAAAAGAACACTTGCCAACCAAAAAAATTATGAAAAGAATCAGAAATCAGAAAATGCAAATTACAATGACAGTTCCCATCTGACTGCCATTTTTACTGTTTGACAATAACAGCTGTTGATGAGTGACAGGAACTCTTCATCCCTGGTGAGACTGTAAATTAGTGAAACCACCTGAGAGAACAATTTGGTACTATACAGCATTTCCATTCCCAGGCATATACACTAAAGAATCTCCTTCACAAGGATATAAAAGGTTGCTTGCTCCAGAATTATTTAATAAGAAAAATAACAAATGACTCAAAATCACCTAACAGGAGAACAGATAAATAAATCGCCAAATATTCATAGCGTGAAATTCTATATACAGCAGTAGAGTAAAATAACAAAACCCCAGATATCAACATGGATAAATCTCAAAAACAAAAGTGTTGATGAAAAAACAAAGTGCAGAAGGACATTTAAACTATATACCATTGATATAAAGTTAAAATGTACGAAATATTGTTACACAGTTTATGGAAATATGTATAAATTAAAGGCATAAAATTATTTCTGGCAAGCATATACATCAGTTTTGGAATAGTGATGCCTCTCAGGAGAAAGGCAAAGGAGAGTCAGGGAGGAACAGATTCCAGCAGATACTCATACTGGACTGATATACATATATATATGTATGTATGTATGTATACGTATGCATGTTTTGAGACAGGGTCTCACCATATACTACAAACTGGCCTTGAACTCACTATATATCTCAGGCTTGCCTCAAACTCAAGGTGATCCTCCTGTCTCAGCTTCCTGAGTGCTGAGATTACAGATATGCACCATCACACCTGGCCTGGGCTTATATTTTTTAAAAAAGTGAATAACATAGAGCTTTTTTTTTTCTTTTTTGTTTTTATTGGTACCAGGGATCGAACTCACGACTGCCTGCTTGCAAGGCAGGCGCTTATGCCACTGAGCTAAATCCCCAGCTGCTACATAGAGCTTTTCTTAATAGAGCTTCAAAATAAAGATATTAAAGCTTCAGGGGGCAGGGATTTAGCTTGGTGGCGTAAGTGCCTTCCTGGCAAGTGCAAAGTCATGAGTTTGATCCCCAGTACCCAAAAAAGAAAAAGTAAGGTTTCAACAAACTGTCTACATTCTCATTGTAAAATATATTTCGATTTTAACTATGTGCCCATATTGTGAACAAAAGAGCTACTAAGACATAAATTGTAAATATGCAGATCACAGAGTAAAAAATTTTAAGTACAAATAAATATACCTGTGGATAAAGATGAGACACACACAGAGGCAAAACTAACTTTAAAGCTACAAGAGTTTGGGGTGAAATTTGTTTGAATTTTTATTTTTAACGTCAATGTCTAAAAAATTTGTTAAAATAAATGTACTGTATTACATACTTTCTGAAAGTTTTTAGTGCAGAAATAATATAACAATACAGCTTTAAGTAATAATACTCCAGAAATGCAAAGTAGTAGTAAAGTTTTCCTCTGAGTTTTTTTCTGAAAAATGATCAAGTAAATAAACAGACACATAACAAAATTATTTGGGTCAAATTATTGGGTCTGCCCAATTTTCAGGGACAAGACAGTCAAAAGTCACTGAGGAGTGATACTTTGCCATCTCTTTAATTAGGGCGTGGCTTTTAAAACTCAGTTGTTCCATTTGTGTCTCAAAACAATCAGATGAAATTCACCTTTTACGTGGCCTGAATCCTGATAGCTCAGCACACTCGATAGGTAATTTAATCATGTCTGGCATAGACCAACACAAACTCAAATTAGCTCCTGAAAGAGTTGGGCTTCTCAGAGATAGCTGTGCTTTTCCACTTTTATGCAAGAGCTGAGCTTCACCAACTGGCTAGCTGGAGGTGTTATTAAAAATTTATTGAAAGAAACAAAGGTGTGCTCCTGTGTCTCTTGTTACCCTTTCTACAGTTACTCCAGCAGACAAAAGGCACAGAGCCTGCCTCATGAATAATGTGACATGGAATATTTACAATCTATTTTTAATGGAGTTAAGTAATAACATTAAGAGAGATATTTACAATCTTCAAATTTCACACGATAGCAGGCACAGTAATTTGTTTTGATTCTGAACTGTGGCTATCAAAATAAATTTTAAAAAAGATAACAGTTTTCAAAATTACAGCTCCTTACTTATGGCATAAACAAGAAAAATTAAAATGGACCAGATATTCCAAATGTCATCATGGAATAGCTGTAGAGGGCAGACACTTAGATTTCAATCAGTTCTACTTACCCCTTGGTACAAGATCTTTACTTTTTCAAACCACATTGGCAAAAAACAGCCAGTGTGTATGATGACTTTTCTGGGGAAGGTTTCATCATCATCATTCACAGGAACTCTGGCTCGCTGGACACCATGGAGAGGTTCCTGGAAGCAGTAACTAAGTATACCATCCCTCAGTTCGGGAGAAGGATCCTAAACTGTACTATGAAGTAAACTAATTTGAATTTTGAATGAGAGTAAACTGACATGGAAAGACATGGTATTGGAAACCACAGGAGGATAGCTAAGGACTGAGATTTGGAGACACTAGAGAAAAACAGCCTCAAAGCCCCTCTGTCCCACCAACTTGGAAAGTCTTTTGTGTCTTATATCTAGGGCACTTAAGTGATTTCTCATGTCTTTGTGCTTTACAGAGCACAGTCAATCTACAGGATGAAATAGTTTATTTTTGATCACTATGTGTCAGGTACTCTTGTAAGGGCTGAATATTTAGCAATAAACAAATCATCAAAGCTCTGCAGGACACTGTCCTCACTGCTGTGTTTCCACCACCTAGAACCTTATTGGATCCCCAACACTATGTGTGAAATTGATTTCAATGGGAATGACAATCTGTGGTAGTCACCATGGGCCACGCATACCCTTCGTGTCTGACTAGAAAGTGTTAGAACACAGGGAGGGGGAGTAGGACAAGACTGAATCTCAGCTTCGTTCTCTTAAAGATTCCACGGGTAGGACACAACAAGAAATAACCCAAATTCAGTTTTACTTTTCCTCATGCATCTTATTTTATGTTTGGTTGGTTGGTTTTTGCTTGCGTGTTTTGTGGTACTGGGGATTAACCCCCAGAGAGAACTGAGCCACATCTTCAACTCTTTTTGAGACAAGGTCTTACTTGGTTATCCAGATGAGTCTCAAACTCAGAATCCTCCTGTCCTGGCCTCCTAAGTAGCTATGACTCATCCAACTTTAAATTTGTAATTTGCTTACAGTGAATAGTTAGCCAATCTCCTACTTTTTCTCCTCTCTCATTTCCAAAGAATCAAAGTAATCAAGTTGGACTGGAATGATAGGACCACATCCACATTTTATGGTATCAGGAAAGTCAGAAGGTTTGCTCAAATCAGACCAAAGGCCTGTGATTACTTTATTCATCTAGGAGCCTCTGGCTGTAAAAACATAATTTGAAATTCTCAAAGATGACAGCTGCTGTACCTGTGGAACTATCAGAGATTCTATAAGGTAGGATCTTAGTTTTCTCTAACTCCTAGTTTTTTCGTTAGGAAAAATATTTTTGTGAGACATAAGAGGAAAAAAAATGGAAAAAAAGAGCAATTAGATTTTATGTTGCCTTGTCTGCCTCACTTTTCCATTCCACTGTATTTTTCTTAAATGCCAGTTTCCCCAACAGGAAAAAACAAATTCCCTATCTAAATGAAAAGCAAACTGTAATAGTCTTAAACTTTATTAATTTAAACATTACTCTAATAAATATGTATTAACAAACATAAAACACTCCAGAAATCTAAAAACATGTACAAACCTAATCAAAGTAAAAATATCATTTCCCCTTATATGATACACATGGAAGCCTGAGGAGTTAAAGACAGAGCCTTCGTCTCCACACACACATTCCTACCATTCAGACACCTTAAAAATACCAGGTTAACAATAAAAACTTTGAAGTAACTCTTTAGTTACTTTCCTGTTTACACTGTATAAAATCTAAAAGGATTGAAAAGGCAGGTTTGAGATTCTCGATTGTCTTCTCAGAAACCCACTGAAGGACAAGAAGAGACCTTCATCTGAGGTAAAACTGTTAGATTTTGAGAGACAGAGTTATGACTTTACTTTCCAGATCCCCAGTGCCGGGCATGAGCCTGGGACCATGGTAACAGTAGTCAATGAACAGTTGCTGAGTGAATGAATGACATCATGTCCACAGGCATTGTTCCATGTTTTTTCATTTGTCTGTTTTTACCTCTTCTGATGAGCCTCTCACCGGCCTCTTCCAAGAGGACCTCAGATCCTCTCTTACCAACAAGTCCACTTTTTTGCTTCTTCCTGGGTGAGCACAATGGTGCATCTGGTGATTTTGGAAGAATAATGCTCCTTCCCCAAATCAGTTTCTGAACCAGTCCTCAAGAAGGAAAAAGGATTCATCCAAAATTTACATTACAGGCATTGCCCAACAGATAAGGATGAACAGAGTTCCCAGAATACAGAAAAAAAGAAGAAAACCCACTCCTTTTTTTCTAGACAGAAGATCAATGTGTGTCCATTTGTAAATGGTGATTGTTCCTCTTCCATCAGTTGTCTGGGGATTCAGGAAGAGGAAAACACCTGAAGGACTTTTCTGCCTATGGAAAAGGATGACTATGGGAAGGACTCTGGGGCCAAGCTCTCATCGTACCCCCTCTTGACTGCATCTTCTTGTAGAAGAGGATAAGGCCTAGCAAGCTGCTGCAGTTCCCACTCTGGGCAGAGCTCCGAAAAGTACGTTACCTCTGGCAGCTCCAGGAGGTAAGGTGAAGGAGGGTCACTCCAGTGGGATCTGCAGACTGGACTGGGGGGGCCTGAGAAGTCCAAATGGGCTGCCTATATAGTGTTGTGTCACTGCTGTTTGCAGCCAGCAAAGATGCTCACTTGAGCCCATGCTGCATCTCTCGGTGCCTCCTGAGATCCACCTTCCTCTGGAAACCCTTGCCACACAGGTCACAGCCAAAGGGCTTGAAGCCTGTATGCTTGCGGCTGTGCGTGATGAGGTTGGAGCTCTGGCTGAATGCCTTGCCACACACCTGGCACTTGTGGGGCTTCTCACCTGTGGGAATGGAAGGGGGAGGGGAGAGTATGAGTCTGTGATAAACTAGAGGGGACCCACTGTGACCCACATGCTCTTGCAGCAGCTGGCTACACCACAATCGAAGACCTTCGAGCAAGTTGAAGGGTGATGTGTTGCAACATAAACTGACTCCCAGCCTGCAACTCGGTCCTGGGAAAGCATGGGTGTACCAGGTGGAAGGGAGACTTTCTGAGTGGGGGTTCCCAGCTAAAGGCCTCAAACCGTTTCCTGCTAAACAGAAACAGAGCAAAGGCCACGTGCCCTCCCCAGCTGAATTCACCCTGGGAGGACTCCCCCAACTTTAGAAGCAGAGAGTACCCAGAACAGATGTTCAACAGGAGGTGGGAGGAGCCTGTCCTACAAACCTTGTGATTCTGTTCTAATTCAGAGGAAGTTTTCAAATCTGAGTTTCCAAGTGGGTGTTGGTTTAGTATGGACCAGTGAGCCTGTCCTTCTTCTTGTTCTGGAAGGACTACAGATGTATCTGCAGCGTGGAAATTTCTGAGACTTATTTTAAAAACCCACATTTAAGCCACAAAATATTTCATAAAATACTTGATTTTTTTTTGTCTTGATTTTGCTTTCTTTTTATGAGGTTAATCACTGGACTGTAAATAACAGCAACTCTTTGGCACAGATTAATAAATGACAGACTTGTCTTTGTCTCATTTCATGTGCTGTTTAACACGTAGGTAAATTCCAAGTAGTCCCTGTATGGCCTTAGTAGGGGCTCAGCTTTGGGGAAAAATGCAAAATAGATAAAGTTTGTTTTTGAGGAAATCTCTTCCCTCATATTGCATTCTCTTCTCACTTCAAGCTTCAGATTTCTTGGAGAAACAATCATCCATCGAAATGTAACCTATCCCTTTAGGGTCAAATAAATCTGATAAACAAATTGTAGCTATAATGTAAATGTCTGACAAGGCATTATTAACATTTCAGTCAGTCAAGATCCTAGTTACTTTTTATGTGTCTTGAATTCTTTTACTTATAAGAAGTGAATTACATGGCAATTTTGGGTAAGAGGAATGATTGAAGTAGGATATTTTTCTGAGTATTTTGATAGGAATATCTATATAATCGGCAAGCATATTATTAACATCAATGATGCATGTTTAGAACACAGTACAATTTGTTATAAGTATTTATATTCTACAATAAAATTGTCAGAAATTTCAAGTCTAATGTAAATGTCCTCTTGACTAATAAATAGAGCACTTACGGAGGTAGGAGGGTCATTTGGTTTGGCATTAAAACCCTCATTTGCACATAAATTGTTAGGAAAAGGACCCAGAGTTGGAAGCCAGAACATCTGATGGCTCCATGATCACTCTGATTTTTGATAAATCATTCAATGTCTGAGTTTCCAGATGGTAAGAGCAACCATTTCCACTTTGTGAGGTAAAAGTAAGGATCAAATAAAAGGATAGATTTGAAAACCCTCTGTAAACTATAAAGCATAATAGGTAAGGAATTATCACTACTAAGGATTGCAAAGGGCAGTAAGTAAATAGAGGCTTTCTGTGTCTATTAATTCCCATGACTGTGGAAGTAGAATATGATAAACAGGTCAAGAGCACAGACATCTGAGAGGTCAGACAGATTTGAATTTGAGCCCTGGTCCCACCTCTTGTTAACAGTGTGACCCTGGGCAGTTACTTAATCCTTCTCTACCTCATCTTCCTCATCACCAAAATGGGAATAAGAAATGGTTTCTGTCTCCCAGAGTTGTTGTGAACCTCAGATCATCCAAGTCAGCTGAAAGCTTAGTAATATTTGCTACTGTTATTCTCCTCACATAAAATAAGTTCTCAACACTCTGATAGGATCCTGGGGCCTTCTTCACATTTGGCTCACAGCAGACAGCAGTGGAGTAGCTGTTAAACTCAGGGAAATATTCTATCCAAGAACAGAAGCTGGGAGCTGAGCAGCTGGTCCTACAAACACAATCGCAAACCAAGACTCCTGGGGAAAATCACAAATCTGTTTCCTTTAATAGATACAGTGATTAACATGACCTGCAAAGCCCATCCCCCAGTCTCTGCAGCTGGAATATCAGAGAAGGTAAGTTATGTCGACCTCAGTGACCTACAAACCAAGCACCTTCGGCTTACCCGTGTGGATGAAGGTGTGTTTCTTCATGTCTGACTTCTGGTGGAATCTCTTGCCACAGTACTGACAGGGGTAGGGCCGAGTGTCTGAGTGGATGAGCAAGTGTGTGGACAGTGTGGATGACCTCTTGAAACTTTTGCCACAGATCTTACAGTCAAAGCTGCGTTCCTAGACAGACAGAGACAGAAGCAGACAGACATGAGTACTGTACTGCAGTCACCCAGGATGTCACCCTCCTCACCACAAACCTGACCCTACAATCCCAAAAGCCATGGCTCCTTTTCCATACAACCATTTATGTTCTATTTCCACACTCTCCACCCTTTCCTTTAACACTTTTTCTACCAAAACACTTTTCACCCACAACCTTCCACACCCCATGGTAGAAACTTATCCCCACCCTGCATTTTTGACACCCATTATACACACTTCACCCTCATTTAACAGGCGGCTGAGTCACTTGAGATGCCCCCACCCTCAGCCACTGTGGGTGCTGAAGATGGGCAGATACTCTTTACAGTCAATAAATCTTTACAAATAAGCATTCTCCTTTAATAGTCATTTGTTATTTACCTATTTGTTCTCCTTCCACTACACTCTAATCTGCATGCAAATGTCCAGGTAAGAACCAGAAACGCTACAAAGTACTCAAATACTTAGGAGTAGACAAGAAATAGTTTTAGACTAATGAATGGAAAAATAGCAGGGTGAATGTCCTACTGAATGCTCTCAGTGAACTGAGATCCCACCTTTTCAGTCAGGAGGGGATTGATAAAAATTAAGTAACTATTTGGTGAAAAACAAGCAACGAAACTAATACACCTAATACATCAGTAGCAAGCGTCAGAGCACACAAAGCTTCCTGAAACCCACAAGAATGATCAGAATCAACTCTGAAGGCTCACAATAACGTGGCACCAAAATCTAAGATTGCCTGAAAGGCTGAGCTGTCTACATCCACTTTTCTCTCCATATCTATTCCAGAGCAAAGGGACCTGCAGGAGGAGACCTAAAGGTAGGAGACTGGAAGCAGCCAGGGAAAAAGCTACCAGGCAGAGGGCGGCTGGTGCTGCTCCAAGGCCGAGCAGAGGTCCCCAGAGCGAAAACTGCGCGGGACGCGCGCGGCGAGCATCCTGCGCTTACCTGCGAGTGCACGGCTTTGTGCTGCTCCAGGCTCACTGCGTGGCCGAAGGTCTTGCCGCACATCTCGCAGGCAAAGGGTCTCGTGCCGCTGTGGGACCTGCGCACGTGCACCTCGAGCCCGTGCGGCGTGGAGAACACCTGAGGCGGGTGGGGCCGGGGAGAAGGCCGCTGAGAGGGGCCGCGGGGTGCAGGCGCTAGCGGGACGCGGGCTGGGGACGCAGGCGCGGGGCTGACCAGGCCGGGCGCGCAGGAGCCTCACCTTGCTGCACTTGATGCATTTGTAGGAGCCGCCGCCCAGTAGCAGGCGGGCGCACAACAGCTCGGACTCCACTTTGACACCAGCGCCCTTGTCCGCGTGTAGTTCGTGGCCGCGCTCTGGGTACAGCCGGCCCGCTGCAGGCGGCCGCTCATACAGCCCAGCTGCTGCAGGCCCGAAGTCGCCGTAGAGCCCTAGGCCTGCGCCGCCGCCGGCACCTCCAGCGCTACAGCTTCCCGGGGTCCCGGCCCCAGCGCCGCCCGCAGCCCGCTCCGGGCCGTAGAGAGCGGCTGGGTGGCCAGGCTCCGGGGTGCGCTCGCAGAAGAGGCTCAGACCGGCGCTGCGCTCTAGGGCCGCGCACGGCCGGTAACTTTGCACCAGGTGCCGCAGGTCGGAACCCGCCAGGCCACTCCATGAGTAGGGCTTGAAAGGCAGGGAAAAGGGCTGAGCTTCGTCCAGAGACGGACACAACGACTTCTCTGAGGCTGCAGAAGCACAAGAAGGCTTCCGGTCAGATTTAAGGCTGCGGGGCGGAGTCTGCCGCGTCTGCTTGCCGAGTGCGCTAGCGACTGGCGGGTCCTGAGCGCGTGCAGGGCTCGCCGCGCGCAGGTGCCGCGCCAGCTGCTGGCGACGCCCCTTGGTAAAACGCAGCCCCTGGGGCCCAGCTGGCCGATGGCAGGTAAGAAAACTGATCGTAAAATGACAGACCGAGAAGATAGGTAAATAGTTTGAGGGCAGCGGAAGCGCCTGGCGTTCGAAGTATCTTTTGTGGCAGGACCCACACATCTGGCGGTCCTATGGAGGAAAAGCGCATCCATAAAAGCTGTGAGATAAGAGATCGAAAAAGCGGGATCCTTGGGTATGAGATGCTGTTAGTGGGCAGAGGGTCCCGCCATCAGCGCCCCTAATCTTCAATCCTTTTTCCTCTTAGACTCTATAGTGAAATAAGGAGAGGGGCAAGAAAAAGGTCCTGGAACTACCACAGACATACCTGTCTGGAGAAAAATAGAAGGCATGGGGTTTCTGAGTTGTGAACTGCACAGTGCAGATAGCAAAGGAGCAGCGAGAAAGAGGCATCCAGTACTCCTCGTTTCTGTCACAGCTTACTGGGGCAGGGATGAATTTCCCAGAGAATAATTTTACAATTAAAAAGGTTTAGTCACCACTTTCAGGATAGCTTTCTGATCCCACCCACGTGAAGTCCTCTAAAACTAGACGTCCAACAAATCCGAGCGCATACACAGTTAGGAATCTGTTCCCACGTCTGTACACTCCTGTCTAGGCTGCAGTGAGGCGCTGCACCCCTAGTTTCCATCCGAGGGTCCAGAAAGCACCTAATCCTGCACGAAGACCCCTCCACCGCTGGCTTCCAGACCCACCCGCTGAAGCTGCGGTTCTGCTCAAGCCAATCACTGAATACGGGCTGGATAGTTGTCTTTTAAAACTAATCAATGTAATCTGGAAATAACTGGCTTTCAGCAGAACTGGGAAGGTTTGTGCCTTCTTTACACTGCCCGGACACAGTCAGTCACTTGGTTTGCAGGAAACTCAATTGCTCTCTGGAAATGAAACCCAGCGGGCTGGTCCCCGATGCTAGGCCATCTTGGCAGAACGAAAAATGAAAGGAGTCCCCAGTTTGTTTCTGCGGAGACCGCGGCCGCAGGCTGTTTTCCTCTCTTTCGGCGCAGAGCGCTCTCTGCCGAGGTTGGCTCTTCGCCTCCATTTGTTTGAGGCTGGGGTTTGAATTCTGAGATCCTACCACTTTTAAAACAGTCGCGTCTGATCAGAAAACGAAATGTCGGGGTTTTTGTTTTGTTTTGTTTTGAGCCCCCCGGTTTGTTTTATCTCACGGACCAGCTCTGCGCTCACGCACAAGAACTTTCCCAGGGTCCTGCGGCAGAAGATGGAGACCGCAGACCCGCGGCCAAGCGGATAGTCCTGGGCAACCGGATGCTTCCTCGCTGGGCCCATCCCCCACAAAGGAGCCCCGTTCACCAGGCGAGCCTCTTCGCCACCCATTTGCCATTTCTGCTCCCAAGGTCTCGCCAGCTCCCCGCGACCCCTGCCACAGGGCCCCCCACGATCCCTACCTGGAGACGCAGAAGGCGAAGGCGGCCTCCACAAGTCCTCGAACTCGGAGCTGGCGTCGCAGACGCTGCCCTCACAGCTGTCCGGGGACGTGGAGGCTCTGTCGGGAGCCTCAGTCAGCTGAGACTCGGGGGACAAACGGTCCCCGGGCTCCGCTTTCCGCCCGCCTGCACTCGAAGTGCTGTCTGGAGAGAGGAATCGGGAGATGAGTGAGGTGGAGCCGGTTTGAGCCTGGGGGCCCCAAGTGTCCCCAGCCCATCGTGACACACGAGCGTCCTCCCGGGTCCTCTCGGATCTGACTAGGAGCCTTCCGGGATCAGAGCATGGGCGCAGGGAGGTACCGGCGCCTAGACCACAAGCTGGGGAGGAACCAGGACAGTTGGAAACGAGACAGCCAAGAGGCGTCGGGGGCACGTCTCCTGGTCCCCGAGAATGAGGTGGCCGGGTGCGGAGTCGCTGTCCCGAGGGGCGGCACCGCCGGGCCCGCGCGCGCCTCGCACCTGCTCGGCCGGGCGCCGGTGCGTTCTCTAAACGCAAGGAGTAGTCTGGCCCCGGGGAGCGCGGCTGGTGGTAGCTGTGCGCCTTCTTGCTCTTGACTAGGAAAGAGCGCGGCATGGTGGCCCGCCGCCTCCCCCACTCCGCTCCAACGGTTCCTGAAAGCCGCTGTCCCCCGCGGTCACTTGGAGCGCTAGTGCAGCCTCCGTCTGGCAGAGATCTGAGAGGGTACAACAGAGTGGAAACGCCGGTCAGAACTCTCAGGGCCAGGACTGGGCACCCAGATGCAGAGACTGCGGCGGCCAGGGAGGAGCGAAGCCCGCGGCAGGAGGAGGGGCTTGGCGCCCCGGGGCCGCGCTCACCAGGTGGCACTCGGACAGGTGGCGCGAGCTCTGTCTGCCGCCGCACTGCCAACAGCTCAGCGGTAAAACCTGTCGCGGGGCCGGATGGGGGTCTTTTCCTCAACTCTGTCCACACCCCCGGCCCCTCCCCTTCCTAATAAAGCCATCAGGAGCGCACTCCGCCGGGTCGCGGTCCCCAATGGGTCTGTTACCTCCGCTCGACCACTCACTGTCTGGTTTGGGGGTTGGGGACGGAGGCACAGATCGTCTTAGGGGCGGAGGACCCAGAAGGGGCAAGAGGCCAAGCTCTCCAAGAGCCCGCTACTAACGGAAGTGAAAGAGGGGCGCGCTTAGGTTGGACTGGGTTGGACGGGGACAGTAGCAGAGGGACCGGAGGCAATAAAGACCCAAGAAGGGAAGCGGGATGGCAGAGGGACAGGAAGAAGGGGTGGTGGCAAAGGACCAAACCGAGGCCGGGTGAAGACTCATATTTGGTTGATCTTGCTCGTACCCGACACAGGGAAAACTTGGCCAGAAATGGTAGGCACCAGCCGAGCAGACACCCAGGACCATGGAGGTCTAACCTCGAAAACCAGGGCCCAGGGAAAGAACTTCCCTTTCTGCTCACCAAAAATTTTGTCCTATGAAAGGAAATCGAGCTCGACTCGCGCACGGTGACTGGGGAACGCGCGATGTCCTGAGTCCGTGGAGCATCGACGGTTTGGAGGACACGTGAGATGGACGCCGGAGGCCTGCGCTGCTGGGGGCCAGAAAGCCGGGGTCCGGGAGCCGGCTGTCCGCAGCGTCGCTCTCATTAACCCCCAATCAGTTTGCCTAATCTCAGGTCGAAACCTGAGCCCGGCGGGGAGGCGGGGCTGCGACTGCTGCAAGCTCCTGGCAGGCTCCGGGGCGGGACCCTGCCGCCGCTGAGGTCCGGAGTAAACGAATCTGCCTTCTTTTCTGACCTGGACTTTGGGGGTCGGATTCCCATACAAGCTGAGGCCTTTTCGGGCGCAGCAGACTTCGTGAACGAAACCAGGGCGCAAGGGGCTCCTAGTCCTCTGGTGTTGTGCGGTTTAGATTGCGGGAGGTGGAGCCTTTCTGCCCCAGGACAAGATGCAAGACGCAGTTTAAATTTGTCTGTCTATCCTATCAGAACGAGTCACTGCAGACTCGGGCTCTGAAGTCGCACCCCCAACTCCAGATCCCAGTCCCTGCGGAATGCATATATATGTCTGGGAGAAGAGATGCTGGGACGGTCACCGGCCGACCAGGGACGTTCCGTACAGTTAGGTGCCAGAATGGCCCCAGGCTGAGGGTTCAGCCCGCCTCCGCCTGGGTTGGTTCTCAGACCCCAGGCACTGCTGCTTTAGTTTTTCCAGAACCCTCTGTCCGTACAATTAGACTCACAAGTGCAAAGAACAATCTGTAAAACAACTATGAAACTTGGAAGAAAAGGAGAGCAAAGTGAAGCCATCCCCAGAGCCGCCTCCGGCTTGGACCCGCCTTGGCCAGAAGCTGGACTAGTGGGGAGCTGGAGAGCCCTGTGCTCCCGCGCAGGGTCCCACTTAGCAGGGATCGCACAGGAAAAGGTAGCCACGGGGGCAGCCTCCTCACCCACAAATCTACGCCTCTCTCGCACCCTGGCCGGCTTTGCTGGTTCCGGGGGTGGGGGGAAGTGGTGGGGGTAAGTGGTAGGGCGAAGGGCCGAAGTGTGTGGGAAGGCGACCTCGCGCTGCAGCTGGCGGCCAGGGGCGGGGCGGCGCCATCGGCGCACGCGGCCCGCGGTCCTTCTTCTCCGGGTCTGGGCCGGGGGAAGGCGGGAGTTGAAGGCGCTCGGGGGAGGGGGCGGCCTCTTGAGCCCAGCCGCCCTCACCTTCCTACCAGATGTTTCCTTTTCAGGTGGATCCCACTCCCCTGCAGAAACACCAAACTTCAGGCGCGCGCGCTAATGCAAATTCCCAGCCCTGCTACGCGCCTGAATCTGGTGGTGGGCGCTCTGGCGGGGTGCACGCAGCAGTGGGCAGCAGGTGGGGCCACCCGAGCCCTCGGGACGCCCCGCAGCACCCCGGGCCCGCCAGCCTCTCGCTGGTGGGCGGCACAGAAGAGGCTCGGGGCACCTACCTGCCGGGTCAGGGCGCGGGCAGCGCGCCCCGAGTTTTCAAGCAGATTCTTGCTTTCGGGAAAGACGGCTCCGTCTCTCTGACTTTTTAAAAAAAATCTCCTTCCTAGCTCAGCCCCCAAACCACAAGCTTCACTTCCTGAGCGTTACAGAGCAGCTCGCTGCCCTCTCAGACCTCCCCCTAGCTGGGCGGCCAGGCGCGCTCCACCTTTGCGCGAGTGGCCAGGAGGAGGCCCGGCCCGGGCTTTCCAGCCGTCGCCCGCTACTTCGCCGCTCCCCCCACTTTGCCTCTGTGGGATTGCGAGATAGGAGGGAACCCGGAGGTCTGCACATCCAGGCACTAGAAATGACTCGAAAGAAAATTGAACTATTCTTGGCTGCTGGGAGGCTTCCGCAGCGAGAAGTCAGAGATTCAGGACACAGATTGACTGGAGTGGCGGGGGTGGAGCGCCCCGCCGCGCTGTTCCTCTGGCGAGGCCACCCTGCCCCCAAGCCCGCCGCCGGCTTGGGTTGCGGTCCCCGAATCGAGCTGTGAATCACCGACCCCGGTGCCGCCGGCCTGGAGCCCGGCGAGTGGCCGCGGCGTCCGCAGAGCGAAACCTGCCCCGAAGCCCCGAAATAGCTTGTTGTGGAAACACTTCGGGATAAATACGCCCAACGAGGCTGAAAATACCTTGACACCCAATCCGAGAGGTTTGCTCATTTCCCTTCGGATTTAGGTAATGGTTAAATTTGGAAGAGGTGGGCGAGCGCCGAGCCCCCGGCGGAGAGGGTGCAGGCGGCGCGTCCCGCGGGCGCCCGGCCGTCGTGGAGCTCCCCGTGCTCCGCCGGGGTCCCTCGGCCTTCTGCTAATTTCCGGTGGTCGGAGCTGCAAAATTAGAGGGTGCGCGGGAGGGAGCGCGTGGGGACCGGGAGGACGGCTGCTCGGCTGACCCCGCCCTGCCGGGCCGTGGCTAGGAGAGAGGACCTCGTCCGCGGCCCAGCCACAGCCTGCAGGCCGCACCCGCATTTGGTCCTGGGGGAAGCAATAAAGCTCCATAATAGCAGGACCTCGGTGGTTAATGGAAAGTAAACCTTTGCCTGGCTTGTGTGCTTCCTGAGGGTAGACATTGATCTTCATGATTATGTCCATGGTTGTAGGCTCCTGACAAGTGTCTGTGGACGGGGTAAGTGAATACATAGAATTAATTAACCTATTAATAGAACAAGAAAACTCTTCCTTAAAACAAATTATCTATTAATAGAACAAGAAGCCCTCAAAATCTCTTTCTTAAATGCAGCAACCTCCCACTCGACTCTATGTCGTGATACCTAGTCTGTAACTTGTTATGTACACTTGAAGGCCATAGATTTATGTGACAGGAAAGAATATCTTGGAATCATGTTACTTGTCTAGTATACCTGCTGCCAAAGTTAGCACAATCACGTTACTTTTCTGAGTGAATTGCATTTTGGTCACTATTTCATGTACAATGATTCTCGAGTATCAGCCCTTGGAAGGAGGGGCAGTCCTCCCCAGTTCTTGGAAAATGACTACGATATTTTAAAGGTTTGCCTTCTTTTATTGCTTCTTGGGATTGAACCCAAGGCCTTGTGAACTTGCTAAGCAGCTGCTCTACCACTGAGCTACATCCCCAGTCCCAACTACCATATTAATTCAAAATCGACACGAGAAAAAGTCCATAAAGCTTTTTCTCGATAAAAGGTTGTTAGATGATTGCTTTACACTGTACATTTTAAATTTTGCAGAAAATATTTGGTTTGCACAGCAATGCTTCAAGTTATGTTTTAATAAACCAAACATTTTATTCACAGTTGCCTGGCAAGAGGCACACTTTATCTGTCTGCCTAGCTGTGCTCCCTGCACTGATTATTTGCTCAACTCACCTTTTCTTTATAAATAAACTCAGAGGTTAACTAAAGAGAAATTAAGCATTTTACTGATATTTTATTTCATGTGGTTTTTGCCCTGGACTAAGAAATAAAAATTTCAAAGTATCCCAGAAAACAAATTTTTACCTTATTCCCTTCTCTCCCTCAACAGGAGAAAAGATCATTAAAAAAAAAAAAAAAGAAATGATAAATAGGACAAAATAGTTTCTTATTAGTCAAGATATGGAGAAAAGATGGGACCATTTCCTTTGTATATTAACAAGTTCAAAATCAACTGTCTCGACAAGGTGTTGTAACTAGGAGTAGTACATCAGTGTTGCTGTCTGGGGGACAAATCAGCACCTTTCAGCGTATCACTTTAGACTAAATCCCTTTCATTTAGATTAAATCGAGTAGTCTTGCTTTTCATTTGCCCTTCAGTCTCTTGGGATTTCTGAGCTTGCAAAATAAAACTGGGAACTGAGACAGGGATACTCAGAGAGGAGCAGGTGGGAGGCAGGTGGCATTGAATCCCCCTTTATGTCTGTACATTTGAACTATGTAGCTGTATGACTAATTAAATAAATAAGTACACATTAAAATATTTAACTGGTAAGGTCAGGACACCTCTCAGGTGTATAGTGCTGGAGCCAAAGTCCCATACTTGAACGAGCACAAGAGAAAGTTAAGAAGAAGGGGACCCAGAGAGGTTAAGATGCTACAACTGAAAGCAATGATACAAAGAACCAGTCTCTGATTTCTGTTTACTTCAATTACTGTTTGTTTACTAGTAAACAGAGGGTAAAGATGACAAGACAGTCTGCTACACACATTTTGTACAACTAGAAAGAATTCCCCTAGCATTCTTATGAACTGAAAATAGTACACTTGGGGCCTAATTTTCCATAAATGAGGCTTTCTCACACCCAAAATGCTTCTTAATTTGTTGATTTTTAGTAAATTACTAATTGTTTCTAAGTAATAACAATGCATTTGTAGATGCTTAATGGCAAAAGACCTCATTCCAATTGCAAACATTTCCAAGCTCTGGCCAGTCAACCAGCACCTCCTAGGTCAGCTTTTCCCTGACAAAAGATTTGAGACATTAACAAGAAAGAATATTATAACAGTATTACTAGTCAGTTGTTTATTTTTCATGAAAATTTATAGTTATGGTTGCTGTTCTACGGGGATGGGGAAGTGGTTGATTCTGAAGCACAGCAGGGAGTGATGCTCCCATTCTCAGCATTCATTTCTACAATGTTCATTGCACTTGATTGTCACGGTACAGTTACCAGGAGAGGAAAAAAGTTTAGGTCTTCCGAATTGGATATGTTTGTCCGCTCCTCTTCTGCCAGCTTTGTGATGTTGGGCAAATTAGCTCAACTTTTGAAGCCGTAGTTGATCATCTGTGAAGTCAGAATACTAACACCTAAGGGCAGAACCAGGATCAATCCTTTGATTCCTTCACAGGTTCATCTGAGTGGCAAGAATGAAAAAAATGCTACAAGTAAGGAAAAGGATAAGATAGGTATTTAAAGTTTTGAAAATATTATAAATTATATTACATCTACTCTGATAAAATAATAAAACAACTTTCTAGTGTGGGGTTTTTTTTTTTTTTGAACCCATTATAGACCCCAGGTGATCCTCCTGCCTCAGTCTCCTGAGTGCTGGGATTATAAGCATGCGCCACCCTGCTTGATCAGTATTCTTACTTTGTTCTTGACAAGAATAGTAATAATATCATAGATACAACTGCATTCTGTTTTTATGAACAGTATAATTTCATATTTCTTCTATTTAATTTTCTTTAGTGGAACATAAACTTTTTATAGTAAAAATATTTAAATAAAAACCACAATGTCAGAACATTATATAGTACCCATTGACATGTACACTTTTAAGTTTTTATGTGTCAGTTAAAGTAACTTTTAAAAATCGTAACATCTCTGGTTTTAAATATATTTCATTATTTTCTGTTATAAAAGTGTCTATAGATTTCTGTAGTTCACTCAATCACCTCTGTCTTGATATTTAGCTTGTTTCCATTATACTTTAAGTAATGCAATGAAAAGTTTTATAGATACAGCTTTTTCTTTTTTTTTTTTTCTTGTGTGATGCTGAGGATTGAGCCCACAACTGTGCACATGCCCCATACTTCAAATTGGAATATATTTTTAGGACTAAAGTTTCTAGATTAATGTTTTTATAGCCTTTGGAACATACCAGAACAAATGTGTTGGGTAGTATCTTTGTGTAATGCGGAAGCCAAAATAATTCATACCACTTAATAAATAGTTAAAATACTATAAAAATCAACAATGGAAAAGTTAGAGCTAGATTAAAAACCAGAGAGCTGGTGTTATGTTAGGACAAGTATTTGTTAGTGGTCATACCATGTCATTTGTCATGGTTTTATCCTCATGGCATTTTAAAAAAACTATTTAATTTTGTCTTTGGCATAGCTAGTAATGAGATAGAAATAGGATTTATATATTT